CCCCTCCCCCCTCAAGCATCTATTTGCACCTCTTAAGACTATACATAGCTAAAGCAAACCGTTAATCAATAAGACTACTTTCTGTATTCTAAAACAGTCAAACCGGCTCTAACGGCTTACTGCTCTAGACAAACACTTGTACACACGACCACTTCCACTCCCTCCTTTGAAATTACAACCCAAAAAAAAATAAAAAATATATATATATATTTTATACATGTAAGAACACCGTGCAAGCCGTCCACCTGTCTAAGATAACAATTCTTCTCCTCAACAAGAGGTAGCCGTCTTGGACAGTTTCTTCACACCAGCAACGGGCTTTTTGAATTTTGATAAATATGATTATTTTGGATTTACTAGAAACTTAATGACATCTATCAACCGCAATAAATCTCTTATCCATGTTCAGCCGACATAAAAGACCGGCGCAATCGGTTTTGCCCATTTAGCGAAAAAAAAAACCTCTACGAACTACCATTTACCTAACACTCGTAAGTCATACATTATCTTAAGATTTAAATCAAGTAGTGGGATATAGAAATCCTTCTTTTTAGTTTCAATTAATGCTTTTAGATTCTGTTTGTCATCCAACATTTTGACTCGTATACAAAGACCCGAGAAGATTGAACAGAGTTTTGGACCAGCTTTGCACCGAGAGACGCGCAATTTTGGGTCAACTTTGAAGGTCAACAATTTTTTCCCTTCTGATAATTTTAAATTCTGTTTTCACTAGATCTAACCCAATTTGCCTGGATATATTCCTAAACTTGCCTGGACCCCTACAAAAATGGTGTATCAGACCAAAATATTTTTTCTTATAAATTGACAGTGAAGAAATGCAGAAACAAAACAAAATAAAGTTCCAACACAACTATAAGGCAGCTAAAAACACATTACAACACAATTTACAGTCCAAATACTCTGAAGAAATATTTCCAGGTCTCCAGAAATAGTCATTCTTTGTATGGTACTCTATGATCCGTGTTTTTTTGTCTCCTCCACTGCCTTTACAAATCGCCCCAGAAAATTACAAAAAAAGGACGCTATACTGTCAAGGTTGAATAAAATACAGAATGAAAATGGCTTAGCAATGTCAAACAAAAGTTGGTCTCCATGAATACCTTCATCTGTGCTGCCACGACGGTCGAGAATTACTATCGGACGTATATGTCTGATGCGTCCCGAAAGACCGCTGATAGACGAAAGTGAACAACCATATTATACGGTCTTCGGTTGGGGGGTGGGGTGGGGGGGGCGCACGACTCACACTTATATAAGGGGGCACGGTCGTGGAGGTGTCTTAAAATGAGCAATATGTAGGTTCGGTTTTTGTAAGCCAGTTGCTATCGTGATCCTATGTATGCACAGAAAAACGGTTGTGTTCAACGTAATGCCCAAATCAAGAAGTTATAGGCCCAAAATGTGTAAATGAATTTTTGTTGTTGTTTTTGCTTTCGCGCAAGCCTATGGTGGACCATGCAAAGTGGCGTGCCAATTAGAAAATCAGTAAATGAGTTTGAATTATTCTCATGCATATAGACGAGAGGGAAAAGGTGATGATTATGTTCCTTTCTTTCATGTTTTTGTTTTCACATCTGACAGGCTGCCATTCTCCTGGGCTGATAGAACTCTCTACCGGAGCACAGTCCTCAAGACTGTATCGTTCACAAGGCTTCTTCTCCCACCCACACGTTTCGATTTAAAAAGAAAAGTTCCTGTACATTTTGGACATTAAAAGAAATTCCCCTATTGGAAGGATGGTGTGTTCAGCCCGAGTTCCTTTTCTTGTCTTTCTGCAAATGTGGGCGCATATGTGTGTTGGGAGGTGGGGGGGGTTATGG